AAAATTGTTTTACATTTAGCTATCGGAAGAGAAAGATGATAGTGAAATAGAAGTGACGCAGAAAACGATAATTACTGCGAAAGATTTTGATAAGAAATCAGATATTTCATCATCAAAAGTTATTGGTTTCAAAGTAATTTTCTAATACAGTATTAGAGATAATATGATTATTTTCTATATATTCAAAACAAATCGTAATCGTAAACATTTAATATCAGGTCGATAAGAATTTTTTTAAACTAAATTAATATCTGCTTTTCCTTCAACATTTATAATTAAAATTTCAAGCCACTTGGTATACAATTTATCTGAATATTATTTCAAGGTTCTGAATGAAGATATAGAGATAATACGTGGTAATTCAAGTTTATCGGATCGCACAAGAAGTGGATTTCCTTATTACAAATCTTGTTACATCTCGGCTATATTATGCATTTTGACCAAAATCATGCTGGACGCAGGTCGTTTTTGCGACACCACTTTGGATCAATTGATTCTTCTCACTAATGAGATCGATCAACAAATTGGCAGATTGCAATACAAAGATTGTAGAATATTTTATAACATAAATATCTTCAATGCAAATTTCAGCGTTATTCTGAAAGAAATGTTTTATACTCGTCTCGAGGATTCTGTATCTAACAAGTTTGACATGATTCTCGATAACTTTTTAAAACAGAATCAGACTATCATATTGGTACTATCAAATTGCGCCCACGCAATTTGGATGTCGGACGACAAGTTTTATTTATTCGATCCTTATCCTTGCGATGAAAGTGGAAAAGCTAATGAGGAAGGTTTCTGTTGTCTTATGAGGTTTCGCGATTTAAAATCTATGCTCGATAGAATTAAAGAAAACGCAGGCGAAATTGTGGGAAAGCCTTTTCATCTCTATATCATGTTTATTACTGACATGGAAGTAAAAAAATGTAAATGGAAACGAAAGAAAGATATTAAAGGTCGCGTGAAGCTAGCAAAAGACTCAAAAATTAGCGAAACAAAAAAAGAGGATGTGACGACATTATTAGCCGAGGCGGAAACTCCTCTGATCGAATTAGCTGAGTGGGTTACTTCCGATCCAGAATTAGAGCCTCGTCGTGATGTCGCGATCGTCGGTTTCACGCCGATGAGGCACTACGAAGCTTTCATGTTGGAAGCGATCGTTTTGGAGAACGACATTACAACACCCACGTTAGCGCCGTTCAAGAAACCGTTGAGGAAACTCGATAGTAGTTATCAAGGTCAGGAGGAAACGACGGAGGCGCAACAAAGTTTATCGCCCGAGAGAATATTTCGTAACCATTCGTCCGTCGCGATTCCCATCGATCTCTGCATCATGGCGTGGTCGTTGATTCACGATCCTACGTCTTGGTCAGAACGCACCGTCAATGGCTTAATCGAGGCTGCCGTCGATTATGCGTTTGAAAACGTGTTGGCAAGCGAGGACACTTCCGTGAGCGACATGATCGACGCGTTACTGCCGGATTTCGAGATAGCGAATTATGCGTTTCACGTGGTGCTCGCGCCGTTGCATTACGGAACTCTGTACACCACGGAGGGGTGGAACCTCGCGGCGACTCTGAAGAAGATATTCGAGACAACGATCTACACCGGTGCTATCATCGCTTGCCGTTATGCTCACGTGGGCGTTACAAAACGGAATAAAAACTACTTTGCCTGGTGGACGGTCACAGGAACGAAGAACTTGAGAATGATCATGTCCAGCGATCTGAGCGATTTCCTCAAGTTAATCGTCAAGGTGATCGACGAACCGCAGGAGATTAAATTTGCCGTGAGGGCGGTTACCATATCCTACAGTCGAAAAATGGCGCCGGATTATAGGGATATCAAGGATCTTCACGAGCCGATGGTGACGACGACGTCTTTGGCAGAGATTCACCGAAGGGAGCTTCCGGAGTCTTACGACGTTGAAACGATATTTAAACCCATCAGTCTGGCACCGAAACCGATTTTCGTACTCGGAACTGTAGCTCTTCGTGACCGGGATAGCCTACAGGAACCGCGAGCAAAACGTTGTTACTTTGTCGCGTTATTGACGACAGTGATAAAAAGAGACATTGTTCAGTCTCCACTTCCGGGAATGATCGACAAGGTTCTTGAAGTGGCGGAAAACTTGTATAGGAGATTCTCTGAACCGAAATTTCACGCGGAGCATGTCTTACGAAATGTTCCATTAATGAACAGGTTCTTTGGTCTTCGAGATTGTGCCACACCCTTAATTATACTGACGACAAACTGTCAAACTGGCAGAAACGATTTTTACTTACAAGTAAGCGCCAAAAATAAGAAAGAAAATTACCTTTCCTCTATCTTTTTATTTCTTCTGTAAAAATAGAAATAATGTTTTAATTTTTTAATTAATTTTTTAATAATGTTACTTGATTCAATAATTAATTCTTTTTTAATATTAGATATTTATATCTTGTCTATTTTCATTTCATTCCGTCGCATACTTCTATCTATTAAAAGAATTTAATTTTCTATTTTTATTTTTTTTTTTTATTTCTTTTTCTTTATTCTATGATATTAATACAAAGTTAGTTATATTTATTTACTAATTATTCTATCTATTTTTACTTATTTATGTATATTTATTATAAATCTATCTAATAAATAGTTTATGATTAAAATTATTTATTAAGTTAGTATTAAGTATTTAATTTTAATATTTTAACTTTTAATCAATAACTGTAATTTATAAATTATATATGTATAAAAATAATTGTTTAGGTGAAAAAGCATCTGAAACGTTACTTTAAAATGCACACAAGCGGTATATTGCACTTCACAAATTGCTGCTACGGCTTTTGGTTCTCGAGAGCAACTAACTGCTATTACTATCTCGATCCCTATCAGTGTGATGCAGAAGGTAGAAAATCTGCCAATGGCAACGCTTGCCTGTGCATCTTCTCTTCCGTGCATCAAATGGCAAAGCACATGTGCCTCAATCAATACGAAGGCACAACCGGCTTCTTTCTTCATAGAATTTACATAATTTCTATCAATACATCGCCGTTCGAGGATGGCTTCCAGGAGGATCCGATGTGGGTTTACTTAGACTATCATTGGAACTTCACGTATTCAATTGTGAGGCCGTGTAAGAAAGTAAAAAGTAGCAATAGTAGGTCCAATCCCTTGAAAATTACTCGGCAATTCTGGAACAATTATACTATTGAAGTGATTGGTCTGGTTTATTCTGTTTGTGGCACGATCGGCACGTATGACCGTCGCTTCGGCGAAAGAGCCGGAAAAAATCGCGTCGCTATATGCGTGGCCGTCCTGGCAATGCAGAACATCTGTCATCCTTCGCGGTGGAGTCCGGCCATCTTGAACTCGGCCGTGATTTGCGGGGACCTTTACTACACGGATAGTCTGAAGAAAAATGTTACGCGAAGGTGCTCGAAGGTGGAAGACAGATTCAACTTGCGGACCTCCCTCAGAATATTTCCACACTCGTGGACCGTAAATTTCGGCACGAGTGTGTGCGGGATTCTGTACGGCGATAAAAACAGATTAACGCTAACTGACGCGTTAAGGTCGGCCTTCGAGGAAGCACGCAACATTATTATCGAGTGCAACGGGATCACCTTGGCTGCATTGGCGGCCAAGGACGCTTATTACATCGCCGATCCCTGCTGGATCGGCCCGCCGTTGTTCGCGAAGGATCGCGGCGCGATCTACGTCTTACGTTGCAAACACATGGACATTCTAATATATGCGATCACGAAGATGCTCGATACCAATCGGAGGCTCGGTGTACGCGTCACGCCGGTGAACTTCGCATTCGATCAAGATTTCGACGCGGATTCTAAATTCTGCGTCGCGAGAAGAAAGATCTTGCCAAGATCTTTGCGAAAAGTTCCGGAGAGAATGGAAGATCCTGTCACGCCTATTCCCGGAATGGTCGCCGATAAGGATTCCTACCTGCAGTATCGACGACATCTCGCCCAGGGTGTCACTGGGGAGTTCCAGCTGGAAAGTTTCCAACTTCATCGTGCGGAACTGAATCCCGAAATTGCAAATAATACGATCGTGAGCACCAAATGGCGTTTGAATCACGGTCGAGTGCGTCCCCGGAAAAAACCTCCCTTGGATCCTATCGAGACAACGGACGATTCGTTGGAATACACCGATTCTGCAACTGATTTGGTACATCGTTCGCGAATTTTCGACACGGATTCAATTACCGCAAGCGACCATTATTCAAGACCAATTGACTTTGCCAGCAACGCTTCTCCATCTGGAATAGAATCACTCGAGAGCGTCAGCAGAGCGTCGTAACTTCATCAGAAAGTCGTGTAAATTTTGATAAGTATTGAAATGTTGCTGAAATATTTTAAAATATTTACGGTAACCATTGATCAAAAGATCTCTTAAGCGTTGTTAAAAAAAAAAAGAAAGTATTCCGAGAGCTTCTAGCAAATTAAAGCGGCGCGACAACCGACATAAAAAGAAAAAACAAATGTTGGAATTTTATGGTAAATGAAGAAAGATAATTCTTCTAGAAGTCGATTAAGAACATAAGTAGATGTTTTTCCTTGAGATATTGACGTAACGATGGTATGATGATAAAGAGCAAACTAATTGCGGTTTTATGCGATTACATATCACAACATTATACAAGATCGATCTAAAAAATCTGACGAGGTTTTTATTATTTTACTTCTTTAAAAACAACATCTGACAAAAACTTAATGATTCAATAAAAAGAGAAAAAAGATGTGGAATATTCCATTACCTACAACAAAACTATTCTTTTTTTTATATATAAATGAGCGCTCCATCATTTATAAATTAGCACCTGGTATATTTACAACTATTTACGATAGTGATATATAATATATACATAATATAATTTGCACGTGTATATGTAAAATGTAAATTAATAATTAAAATATAAATATCATTGAATTATTAATAAGAACATCAAAGAGTTATTGTTATTGATTAATAAGATTCGATCATAAACGATAGTATGTAACTATTTTTATTAATTTATATTCTATGACCACATAATATCTTTCTATCAATAATTTCTAAGTAATTTTTAACACAAAAAATATCACATAATCGACAAAATTAATTTTGTGTGTGTGTGTGTGTGTGTGTGTGTGTGTGTGTGTGTGTGTGTGTGAGCATTTTTAATATAAATTAAAATAAATGTAATGAAATATATTATATATACTTAAATAAAAAATTTTTTATATTTTTTTTATTTCTTTTTATGAATTTTATATCTCGTTACCGTCCGATTCTCATATAATTAACAGATTGGCAGTCAGATGTTGATTTAGCAGTAATACATCTACACTAAATATATAGGATTGTTACAAGATCAGAACAAAAAAATCTTACATATTTATGTAATTATACACAATAATTGCACGTATTTAATTTTGGTAGAATAAAAATAGTTCTACATACTATCTCTACTATCTCTATTCAAGAATTTATTTTAATATATCTAGAACAAATTATTCAGAGAATTAATTATTAATATTATTATGTTAATAATAAATAATAGTACATTAATAAATTATTTTATTATATTAATAGCGTCTCATATAAATGTATTATTTGAATTTTCTCTGGTTAATTTGTTAACATGATAATTATATATCTTATTATAATCTTTGTTTTAAAAGAACTTTTAATCTGCTGAAGAAGACTCAGTGTAGCCGAAACGTTCAAATATTTAAATTTATTTCAAGTGACATATTATTTAGATTTCATAAAAATTTTTTTGTATTAATGATACTTGTTTTGTTTACTTTATTACCTTATTTCTTCATTTTTTTTGTTTTACATACACGAACGTTTATATATTTTCTCTTATTATAATACATTATTGGTTTCATAGTTCAATAACAGGTGCGATAAAAGAAAAATTTGAAATAGGAAACGTAATAAATAGAAAAATATGTTTTATTTTAAAATATTATTCTTCCTCGGAGGATATTTTCCGAGCTTTAAATGTTTGTTTATTATTAATAAGAATGTTATATTTACCGCATAGCGATCTTCAGTTGTCGGTCGTTATCTTATCAGCGGATGTCAGAGAGTGCCTAGAAGCTAATTTAATCATTAACATATTTGTAGAGACAGAGCGCATTTAAAAAGACATG